GGCTGCGCTCCGAGACACTCTGCGTGCCGCAGCAGATCACCTCGCTGCAGCTCTGGGAAGAGATCGTGAAGCTGCATCCAAGGTATTGCAGAGCTGGAGCACGTGGCAGTGTTTTGGTATCGTGCGAGCAGAGTTTTGTCTTGTCCTTGCAATCTGTGTGCTTTTTGGCAAGCTGCAAGTTCTGTAGCTTTATGTTAGGAAAGCCCACATCCAATAGATGTTCACCAAAGCTGGGCATATACGCGACTAATCCTTCTGGAGGGCCGCTCTGGAAGCAACTCTGCAGGGGATTGTAGAGTATGTAACCTGTGTGTGGTATCTGTGGAGAAAGTGAAACATCTGCAAAAGGGATCCAGCACAGTCAGTGCCAAGAAAAAGAAATTTTTGATTAGGAGCAGGTGTCTTTGATCACTTACCCCTTTCTGTCTATTTTGACTTTTGTCTGAGCTTATGGCAGTCGCTGGAAAGTGGGTTAAAAAGGGTGTTCAAGCTCTGCCACAGACTTCCAGCTACTCAGCCCCTGCTTAAGAAACAGGCACACTTTCAACCTCCTCTGAAGAAAAAGGTCTCTTTTATTTCTTAGGGACTCAGGTCCTGAAAGAGTATTTGATGTGCTGTAATAATGCAGAGGAATTTCCATTTCTGGTTAAGACTCAGGTAATGTACACAAACCTGCCAATAGTGAGTTTGATGTACAGACTCACAGAATGGTTGAGGTTTGAAAGGATCCTTGTGTATCATCTGGTCCAACCTCCTACTCAAGCAGAGCATGTAGAGAATGTTTCCCAGCACCATGTCCAGTCAGCTTTTGAATATCTCCAAGGATAGAGACTCCATAACCTCTCTGTGCAGCCTGATGATGATGATGATGATGATAATAATAATAATAACAATAATAATAATAATAAATAGAGCAGAGATAAAGGTCCTCATGGTTAAGTGCTGAATGCACCCAAATTTCTATAACTTTGCATTTAGGGAGCAAAACACTCCTTTTGGCACCACCCTTCTTCATTGGATATACTCTCAGTAGCCATGAAAAAAAAAAAGAGAAAAAGAAAAACTGTTTAGCAATGGTAACTATTTGCTAGTGAAAAGTTCTAAACAAATGTTCGATGAGGAGACTTTTCTTCACTAGAATCAGACCAGTTGGGGAGAAGAGGCATTAAGAAATGTGTATATTTTACTTTGCAGCCTGCATTATAGCCTATACTGCTGCTCTGGTTCGTGTCAGAAGCAGAAGCACCTTTGTTCAGTTTGCTGTAGTTTTCCAAGTTCATCCTTTTATGAATGAAGACTCTGAGCAGTACATTTTGCATGTGCAGTTACTTCACAGTGGCCTTCTTGGAAATGCTTCTGTTCCTAGCTTTTCTGGAAAAACTCAACATAATAGTAGGGCATTAACCACAGACTTCTATTCACATTGCTAATGGATATTCAAACTGCAGCTTGAACATACTTGACAATGCTCTTCTGTTCCACTCTTTTCCCCCAATGAATTAACTTGGAAGTGACACTAATTAGAAGCCATCCTTCTGATGAGCACTTTAGTTCCCTAGTTGTACTAAGTTCTTCAGTGACTCTTTCCTTTCTTACAGTTCCTGCCTTCAGACTGTCCTATGAATCAGTGCTACTGTTGGCTGTTGGAAATAGGATGATTTTTACTGACCTTTTGGCATGCCTTCCCATTTCTAGCAGTACGATTCTATGCAGTCTATGCTACACTTTATGTTTTAAAATGATATAATTAGATGTCCACATCTTTTAAAGTGTTGGTATTCATTTCTGTCTTAGTGAAGTCTTCATACTAACTGTATGACCGAACTTAGTTTGGGAAGATGCTCTAATCTCATGGTCGTGTCCAGAGTTGATATACTCTTGAGTTACCTGTTGATTTGTTAGAAACTTTTGAAGTGAATCTTGTCTACCTTAGTTTTTATGTTGTTTATAAATGCATGTGACAAACTCAATTCTGGACTTTTAATAACTTTAGTGATTTGGTTCTCCCTTACCCGCAACAATAAAATCCAAGAGTAAGAGGTGGGTGTTTGCTATGTATGATGTTTTAGAAGAATATTAGAAACAGTTGTGTAAGTCACCGAAATGACCCCAGCTGCCCTGGGCTGTACACCAGTTTGTTGTTTAAAGAAATCTCATGGTTAAGTGCAAACACTCTATTTAGAAACCTATTTGTGCTCTTGCCAATCTCCCTCAGGCTTGCCGCCATCCGGGATCAAGTGGTGTTTGCTGTTCGGCAGGAGTACGTGCTGCTTGGAGACCAGCTGCTGGTCCTGCACCCTGGAGACGAGGTTGCCATCATCCCACCAATCAGTGGAGGCTGAATCTGTCCAAATAATCTTTTGTAGGTATCACTTCTTGCTTATTTTCCTGTGGAGGATCATTCTCTGTTAAAATATTTTATGGATTTTCTGTGATCTTCCTCTTTTTTTTTTTTTTGTTCTGCTTAGGTCCAGAGATGTGATGTGTATTCCCCCCTTTCACCCCCACTCTTTTGAGAGAGTTTAACTTGTGCTTCCTGCTGGAGAGAATCATAGTGCTGACCAGAAACTATAAACTGCCGTACAAATAAACGATTAACACATAAGCAGTAAGTGGAAGAAAATTACGAGAGAGGTCAGGTGTTGTTTTGATTTTGTCTTTTAGGTCTTGTTATGCTTCAGTTGTTGTTTCGGGCCGTTGATAGACATCCAGCTTTCCTAAGAAAGATAGTAGTGAAAAACCTGCTGCTAGCTTTTAAGAGAAAAAAAATAGAGAAAAAGAATTGTCTGCTGCTTAAAAAAAAAAAAAAAAGATTTTTTGTTTGTAGCTGTCAAAGCGACAGGTATCCATACAATATTTTTATTTCTCTGCATGCTTTGAAATACCGGTTCATTTATTTATTGAGATTTGTTCCATTGCTGCTACTCAACATGCTGCTTCCGCTCTTCATTCTTAGATGAGTTGACAACTACTTTCTTCACAGAGAAACTAGAAGTGATTTTGTGTCACTGAAGCAATTTGATAGGATTGAAAGTCCTGGAAAGCTTAGTAAACCTTAGAATTGGAACTGAAGAGTTCTTTTTATTAGAAATCTCTTTGTAAATTGTGTTTGGTTTCAGGATAAAATATGGAAGGATTGACAGTCTTCAAGATCAGCGAAATGGTCCATACTAGTTGACCATACTGTTAAACTGGGGCATTGGGCTAGTTTTAATTTAGTCCTACTGGACCAGACTTTCCTGCCAGAAAGAAACCCATATACATTAGAAAACAAAAGGGAGATTTGCAGTTTATACTTCCTCAGCAAGTCTGCTGGGAGGTGAATTGACATGGAGACTGGTCTCTTGTGGTGAGTGAGTAGATGGTGTATGTTTTCTGAATAAATTGGGGCATCAGTACTGGAAAAAAGCAACTGGCAAATGCTAGTATTGCCAAAAACAACATCAGAATCTGTTTGCTTTCAGCTCTTCTAGTGAGCTATGGATGAAAGCAAAGAAGTGCCAAAAGATTTTATCAAGCTCAAGTCTGAAAAGCTCTCTGTGGATGAAGTGTCAGAGCTGGTTGTTTCGCCATACTGTGGAGCAGTGTCTCTGTTCATTGGTGAGTTTAATATCTCTAAGCTGGATCTGTGGGTGTGTTAATAGCCTAATAAATGGAACCCAGATTGCTCCACGCCCCAAACTTGTGGATCTCAAATAAATGCATTTCTAGAGTGGACCCAGGACATTTAGACAATTTGCTCTGAATTTATTAGAACATGACTGTGGCAACTCTTAGCCATTTGCATTGGGATGGGGTGATGAGAAGCTTCCCTGCTGGTGGTGCTGTCCTGGCTTGGTGGAACAGCAGCTCTGGAACAACAAACCGCTTGGAGTTACTCTCCCTTTTCCTTCCTACCCTCATTCGAGAAGTGGGTAGCTGTGGCTATGCAAACCACATGTGTGTTCACCTGTACGGAAGCTGCTGTTCAGATCTCAGCTGAAAGTAAATCAGTGCCCTGGGGAAGGTCGAGGCTAATGGTTCTATGCTCTTGCTTAATGGACATGGTATTGATCTCATGGGGCTCACAAATACCGAGCGCTTCAGTATTGTTTGGGCAAATACAGTAAGAGGACCTTATCAGCTACCCCAAAAGATATCCTTGCCTAGGCTGTTGTTGACTGCAGAGTTCCGTAGTCTGTGGACTGAACTCTATCTGGAATGTTAAAGATGTCTCTGCTGTGAAGAATCTCTTCACAGCTGAGATGAGGGGAGCGCAGTGCCTTGGCTCTGTCTGGCTGACCTTAACCATTATGGGAGATCTTTGGTTTTATTCGGTGTATATGTTGGTGCTTTTAGTTGATAACTTGTTCTTGTTTAGGTACTACAAGAAATAATTTTGAAGGGAAAAAAGTGATTCGCTTAGAATATGAAGCATATACTTCAATGGCAGAGACTGAAATAAAGAAAATCTGCAGAGATGTTAGGCAGAAATGGCCATCAGTCCAACACATTGCAGTGCACCATAGACTTGGGTATGTATGGTGAGACCCCATGCTTTGGAAAGTTGAGTATTATTCCTTGGCTGGTGCTCAGATGTGCTTGCGTACCTGCAGGATGCACAGGAGTCTGTATATTCTGTAGTGCTGCAGAGCTTCCTGCAGCATCAGCCTCTCACTGCACAACTCAGTTTGAGAAATCTAGTCTTCTGGTTTTTCAAAAGTGTGTATTGGTAATGTTCTGGAATCTGCATTTAGCCTGCATGAACCTTGATATTGGTGTGTTAATTTCAAAGTGGAGAGAAGGGCTGCTGATTTCAGGGAAGGACAGGATTGCTCTTCTTAAGGCACTTCTTTATTTCTTTCCTTTTCTCTTGAAGTGCTTTAGAATGTCATCTTCTTTCTGTCAGATGTAAGTCAAATTATGCCATAGGAAGTCTAAAAGTTTAGAATAGAGGGTTTGAAGTAGGAATGAGAATTATCAACCATACTGGTAGGAAAGCCTCCAGTTCATGAATCTTGGAGATCAATCTTTTGTTGGGGTATAAAACACAGAACACTAGTCTGTGACGTGCTCTTGAGCTTTTCCTGTTTGTCAGGTTTCCTTGTGAAATTAGCAGGGATGGAGAGAGAGTCTCAAATGCTGCTTCTCCTTCTGTGAGTAGGAGTAACTTCAGAAGTGATGACAAGGCTAATATTAGCTCTGGAGCGTAGTAGTTTCTTTAGACTTTCTATATAGTCAACAGAGTGATTTCTATCAAGGGCAGCTCTGAGACTTAAATTTTCCCTCTGAGCTGTTGCCAGAGCAATCTTAATACAGAGAGGGATTTGGAAAGGAGCTTTGGGGGATATTGCTCCTATGAGGAGTGAGACAAAACCCTATGTTACCTCCTACAACTCAGTTTGGTACATATAGCACACCAAATGAAAAACTTCATAATTTGAAATCAGAATTTGTCAAAAATTAAATTTTAGTGAAAAATTCTTATATCTGAGATGCTTTATTTTGTTTCAAACCGAGATGGTTTCTCAGGCTTTCAGGTAAGAAATGGCCAGTTCTGCCTTGTTGCTGTTGATCAGCTTGTTTCCAGTGAGCATCCTATGTATTGTTATAAGTTAGCAATTTTCCCCTCTAATTCCGTAGGGTTTATAAGAGAGGAAGAAAGAAAAGAAAAAAAAAGGCTATGGCTGGTGGGATTATTTATTCTAAAGCATGGAATTCTCCCATCTGGTACTAATTTTGGTTGTGGTTTTCTTTCCTTTTGAAAGTGTATAATCTTTTGGACATGGCCTGACACTTGCTCAGTGTGAGTGAGTCAGGAGGGTGCATGGCCAGAGTACTGACGTGACATGGCCACAGCTTTTGGTTGCTCTTGATGGTAAGCATTAGCTAAAAGTGCTGTTGTTTCCTTCTCTCCTTAGCTTGGTTCCAGTAACTGAAGCAAGTGTAATTATTGCAGTCTCCTCTCCACACAGAGCAGAATCTCTTGAAGCTGTGAGGTACTGCATCAACACCTTAAAAGCATCCGTCCCAATATGGAAAAAGGTACCTTTGGGCCAAGTTTGGTTCTAGGCTTATGTCAGTCAAACAGTTGAGCTGAAGGCTCTTTGGCAAGCAGCTGATCCGTGATGCCGAGAGGACACCTCCTTCCTTCCAGCAGTGGTTGTTCCTCTTAATGCTACCCAGTGTCCCAGCTCCTCTTACTCTGAACTCTTTCCTGTGATGGGAATCATGGGGATCTGACCTCTCCTACCTTGGGTGGCATAGTGCAGTCTGCTCAGGCTTCTGGACAAGCCTTGGGGGCGCTTTGTTTTGGAAGATGCTGCAGTTTGCAAGCAGAAGTGGTGTGTTCTGGTTTTTCCCTTTTCCCCTTGTCCCTGTGGCCTTGAGTAACCAGAGAACATTAGGCAAGAGTGCACATAAGCACAGCAGCACACAGTGGAGGAATGTGTGGAGGTCCCAAAGCTAGGATGGGCACACGGCAGCGTGTGGAGAGACCAGCCTGGGTCTGGCAGGAGCCTTATTGCATAACGACAGCATTGCGTGCAAGGAGCGAGCATTACCTCTGCCTGCTCTCCTAGGGACAGCTTGGCACATGGTATCAGGGATGTTCTCTGAGTTACTGCTCAGTGCAAAATGTTTTCTTATGTATCTCTGCTTTTCTGATGCCTGCTTCAGGAAAATGGGGTCCTGTGGTCTCAGAAAGAATAATCTGGGGGTCAAAGCCCTGCTGAATTTGGAGCTAGGAACTGCTGAGTGGTAACTAATCTGCCCCAGATGTGTCATACTTACTGTATTTTGATGTCATCTTTTTTAACATCAACATTTTATGTACACTTAAATGTTCTTATCCGTACAAAAGATGGTAGAGCAGAACAGTGTCATGTAAAAAGGTTAGTTTCAGACATGAATGCTATATGCTGCCTGGCTTCTGCATCCTCTCTTCTGGATCTTTCCTGAAGTGCTTGTACATAGGTGCGCCCTGCTGATATTACTGGGATTCAGGCTGCATTCGGCCCAAGGAGCTCCCCACATGGAAAGCCATATGTTCTGAGGATGCTGCCCTCTCTGCTTACTGTTTGCCAGCCAAGTGCTGTGTATTCCCGATGTGTTCAGTAAATAATAGCTGGGTGCCTGTTGAGTTGTTTGGCCTTGCTTGCGGCTATGTATGTAGCAGACTCTCACAGTATTTCCCATTCTTTGTTTATATTTGCAGGAGATTTATGAGGACGAATATTCTTGGAAAGAAAACAAGGAATGCTTTTGGGCAAATTCAGAAAAATAACTGTACTCTTTTAAAAATAAAGTCTTACTGTTCCTAATGAACATGCTGGTTTAGCTTTGAGTTGTTTTCATGGAGAATCTATATGTTTTAAGGCAGTGGTAATAGATGGTTCAATCTGAACATTTAATAAGGGCTGAATTAAATGAATTAGGGTAATTAGGGTTTTTTTAAGTGGTCTTGATTTTCTTTTGAAATCATCTCTTTGTACTTTTTCATCCGGCGTCATTTTTTAAAACAATCTTCCCTAAAATTCTTAGTTGCAAGCATTTGTTTCCTCTATGTTGTATATTGCTTTAAAGCCTTTATGTTGGTAATCTGTGTTCACTGTCTGCCTGGGTCATAACAGGACAATTGCTTTTTTTTCCCCCTTAAAAACTTGCTGAATTTAATTTTGTATGAATGTAGAGTCAGTTTGCAAGTTTTACGCTGTTTTGACATTGTTGTAAAATGAAAGCTACTTGAAGTAGATTAAACATTTTGATACAGACAGAAGAAAATATAAACTATACCCCAGAGTTATTAATTTTTTATTGGTGGTTACTTTCTGGTAGCTGTGTCTCACAGAAGTATTTTTGCCATGCAGCTGATGGTTACAAGCCCATCACATTAAAAAAATATGGACAAACCGATTCAAACTTAGATCTAATACTTTACCAGCAGCAAACTTGCATTAGCATTAACACACAAACCCTTAACTACATCTTAATAATGTCTAGACATGATTTATTTTAAAGGAGCTTTTGTAATTGTGTAATTCTGGTGCTACTGAAAAAAAAAAAAAAAGCCAGCTTCTTTTCCAGAGGCAACTCTTAAGAATAATTGGAATTAATATTTTGACTTCAGATAGGTTAGGATTCAAAGTCATCAAAATGTTTCGGATGTTCAAAGCACAGTGAAATCTGGTATACTTCTTCCAGTTTATATTCACGTTCATGTTTCTAGGACAGTTTTGTTACTGTTATGAAACCTACCTAAGAAGAAAGAGATTGACTCAGTATGCATAGGCTTCCACTGGAAACATTTGTCTGTCCGCTAAAGAAAGATCATGTGTTCCTGTCAGTACTTTGTGCCATGATAGTATTTGGATGGTGTGTATGACATTTTTACTAATGCCGAGAGGCAGTTCCTATGTAATTATTATTATCAGTTTAATGACGATAAAGGATGGCAAATGACAGAGGTAAGGAGAAATAAAATGATTTGCTACAGCGTATAAATTGTTTTATCAGACAATGCTTGGGCCTCAGCCATATTATCCATTTCGTCGTATCTGTAGTGAAAATCTACGAACAACATTTGCCGAACAAAATAAAACCTGAAAAACAGACAACGGTATCTCCTCCCCACTGATATCTATAATTTCTATAATACTTAGTGATAGCTGTTTCTGTCTGGTTCAATTAAACCCTAGTGAAGTACACAACTTTAGGCAGAAGCATAGTTAAACTGTGCTGCTTATCTTCTGTCCTTTCCCTCAGTGGAACCCGCAGCTGCTCCTTGCGTGCAGGCACACAGGCAGCCTCCAAACCATGTGGGCCTTATTATCTAGGCAGAGCTCCACAAGTTCAAGGTTGAATTTTCGTTTGCTTTGGATGTTGGAGAGAAGCCCTCTGCTATTTGAATGTTGTCTTTTTTCTTTTTTCTTTTTTTTTTTTTCTGGGAATTATACAGAATCCTGACTACAGATCACTTCCTCAGAGTGTAATTCTTTTTTTAGAGTAACTAATACAGACTGTCTCCTGTTTTTGGCATTCCTTTTTCCACATTAACTTGTTTACTGTTACCATGCAACTAATGAGTCTGTTAATTTCAAACAAATATATGGCTAATTTGCCTTGTGGTGGGTGGCTTATGAATAAAGTAAAACCTGTATAGTACTTGTAAGCTAGTGCAGTGCTTTAATATAGAAAGACAGTGGTACTGAGAACAGCTAAATCATGCTGGGAGTCCAGATTCGGAGGCAATTCCTGTATTTCATAAATGCTTCTGTAGCGCTGCAGTCTTGTAGAAGATTTATCCAGGGTGACCTTAAATGCACCTTCCCCATCAGCAATGCAGCTGGGAAGGAGGGTGCAGAAAAGGAGAAAGAATAATAGTGCACTTCCCCACAGTGCCCAGGAACAATGAATGGAAGAGATGTTGTACTGAGTCACAGCTGAGTGTTACAATGTGTGTACGCTGCCATGGTCAAAACAATGAAATGTCATTTTGTGTCCCTAGCTGTGCATGAAGCAAGTACGGCTTTGTTCTGGAACAATGATGTATCGGGATTGTGTAACGTTGGGTTCTTCAGCTGGCATCGAGAAAAGAAATGGAAAAGCCCCCTAGGAGGGATGATGAGCATAATTAGAGGTAAAATGTATCTCACTGAAATTTAAGTACCTACTCTGAGCTTGTTGTTGAGGTTCTTTCTGTAGGGCTCCCCAGTCCACTGGGCTGATACTATGTTAAGACGGCAAATTACTCTGTGCTAATGATAGCTGCCTAAGGCTATGTCTGGAGTGACCCAGAAGTGCTTCCAACTTTCCAGGCTAGGGGATGAACCCCAGCTGCTTCTGACTAAGTGTCAGGGAAGGATGTGGTTGCACATGTCCTGGTTTTCACACACACACAGAACTAGGCTGCTGGTCAAAAAATATCTTGTGTTCTGACAAGGTCTGTAAGCTGCATGATGGGCAGCTAATGATAAATATGAAGAACAGCCCTAGGTTTCTGGGATGTGTCTAACTGGTTATGTCTTTTGGCTATAGAGGAATGTAATCCCACCCATATGTGGCTCTTCCAGCCGTGTGATAGCGACTCCAGGTAGGGACAGGAGTCACTGGAAGAGCCACTGTAGACCAGAGCGTAAATGTGTGACATGTGTACAGCCACACAAGCCAGAGTGTGTGGCGTGAAGGGAAGTAGATGCCTGCAAAGCTCCAGTTTGCCCTTCCGAGAAAATGATTCGGTTGTGGCTGCCAGTATTTGAATAGAGACTGTCCCTTTGCCTGGCAGAATGTCCACATATTAACATTCCATAAGTTTGAGTTTCCTGCCTCATATTTTGCTTTGTCCGTACGAGAGGTTCAGGCTGGCATGTGCTCTGAAACCATTAAGAGGTGGTAGCTTGTTCCAAAATAAACTGGGGGGCTGTGTTGTAAGGGGCCTACCCAGGAGATGGCAGCAGCGAGACAGCCGCGCGGGCAGGGAGT